GCACCAGTTGTTTGGTCTGGTTAATACTTTGCTGGAGAACTCGAGAAAGACTGCAGAGAAAGATTTATCAATTCAACGATATGATGTCATTCCATTGTCCCCTAATAGTGGACTGATAGAATGGGTTCCAAATTGTGACACCTTGCACCAACTTATTCGAGAGTATAGGGATGCTCGGAAGGTTTGTTCAACATAATACCTTTTTATACTTGAAAGAAACTAGTATTTCTATCTAATTGTTGTATATTCTTCCAATTTTACAGATCACCCTAAATCAAGAGCATAAATTGATGCTAAGTTTTGCACCGGATTATGATAATTTGCCACTTATTGCTAAGGTGGAGGTGTTTGAATATGCTTTGCAAAATACAGAAGGGAATGACTTATCAAGGGTGTGTATTATATGAGACTTTCTGCCTATTGGAATAACATCCCTAGTATATAAATATTAGCAAAATCTTTCTGCTCATTGTTTGTCTGAAGGTATTTATTTTGGGCCATATAGGTTCTTTGGTTAAAGAGTCGCACTTCTGAGGTCTGGCTGGACAGAAGAACAAATTATACAAGAAGTTTGGCTGTCATGAGCATGGTATGTGTTCCTTGCATTCTTTCAGAACCTCTCGTGAAGCTTATTCTCTGTTCAGGTTTGGACGAGAACAATGTTCTCTGATTTGTTTATTTGTTCTGTTCTCTAATGCATCTTGTGGGGTGGGTGTGCTATATGAACACTAACCTTTTTTTATTCTTTATGGAAAGATAGGAAAAGTAAGTCTGTTGAGTTGTTGTTTACAGCCTTTTCATAATACTATCAAATTAACTAACATTGCACAATCTTTCTTCTTCTCATTTGAGAGAAGGAATGTCTTTGGAGGCATCTAGTCATATGCCAGAAACTACCTTTATATATATATATATATATATATATGTATATATATATGAGAAACCCACCTAATGTTATGAAATTCCGCTTGCAAGTATTTGGATTTGATGGAAACTATTCACGACAAGGAGTACCCAGAGTAATCACACAAGTTTTGCTTTCATATAAGCTGCATTTATATGGTGCAACTCTCTTTGATGATATGATCTTCCTGTGCATAATCAGAATTTTTACAGCCTTTTGAATTAGGCATGTCAGAAGCTTAGTAACCTGAAATTTTTTGCAGCTAGGGCGTGACTAATATGTGTTGTATCTCTGTATCTTAAAAGGCTTAATTCAGAGGAGCAATAGTTGGTTTTCTGACCAACGTTTGGCACAAAAAGTTGCTTCTGTACTTAGTCAGGGTCATTAATTTTTTGACCTAGTTTGACCCGAAGAGATACTGTTTTTAGCATAAAGAGCTTTCGGCCTATTTGATGTGATGTCATTCAGTAGGACAAAACTTAAAATGTCATCTGACTTCTTTATTATGTTAGTAATGGTGACAGAGAAATTTAAATAGGTGGCGTTAAGTTAGTTCAATATAGGAACACATTGCATCAGAGTTCATATTATTGGCATGTGAAGCCTTAAGAATAGTATTAATGATGGAATGGCTCTGAAACATCTTTCCAGCGTCTTAAAATGGAACTAATGTCTTACAAATCGGGAAGAGAGAGTAGTAAAACTCAGAAAAAGGAGATACTTTCTTTTTAGCTGCTTCTCTTGCGTACATCTGTTGATTTTGGGTTGACTTTCTCCAGGTTGGATACCTACTTGGTTTGGGTGATCGACATCCTAGTAACCTCATGCTTCACCGATATAGGTACCATTGTACTCTGTGATTGCATTTTCTTGCTGATGACAAAAGTTTTGATATATTTATATTTGTCATGCAGTGGGAAGATTCTGCATATTGATTTTGGCGATTGTTTTGAAGCTTCAATGAATCGGGAGAAGTTTCCAGAGAAGGTAAATTATTACGTTAAAAAAATGGTTTACCAGAAATTGTATGTTCTTCCTTCAAGGAAACTAATAGCTATTGTAACAAACTTTTATGTGTAGGTTCCGTTTCGCCTCACTAGAATGCTTGTAAAAGCAATGGAGGTTAGTGGTATAGAGGGAAATTTCCGGTCAACATGTGAGAATGTGATGCAAGTTCTCCGACTGCATAAAGATAGTGTTATGGCTATGATGGAGGTAAATTTTGGCATCACCGTCTTACCATTTAAAATTCATTTCTCTAGCTACAGTATGGGGTCATAATGGTGTGAATATTGATCGGTCTGTATTGAACTCTTCTGTTGTGTACACTAATGGACTGCTTTCAAATCCAAATGATCTTGAATCTCGACTATGCTATCTTCTGAAGAGCACAAATGGGTGATAGAAGGGTATTCTATCTAATATGAGTAGATTTGGATCCAACTGAAGTTGGAATGACTTATATGATTGAAAAATTAGAACTATTGGTCCTTAAATTGCCATGTTGAACAATTGAAAACCTTAAGGCTAGTAAATAACTGTCACAGCAAGTTGAACTCACAGTGAAAAGAGGAATGCCTTTCATCAGTTTGAGATGCTTGGTTTCATTCCTTGAATAAATGTTTGCTCTGAATGAGGAGTTTGTCATTTGTCTTGTAATGATGTAAATGTTTTAGTTACAGAATCAATTTATCAGCTTATTTCATTCTTCTTTGTCTTTTTTTTTCTTTTCAGGCCTTTGTTCATGACCCACTTATAAATTGGCGTCTTTTCAATTTCAATGAAGTTCCGCAAATGTCCACACTTTCCAGTGCACATGTGCCTCCTGTTGTGAATAGTGAGGAGTCCTCTTCAGATAGAGAGCTTCTTCAGCCACAAAGGGGTGCAAGGGAGAGAGAACTGCTTCAGGTTTCAATCAATTATGCTTGCAAAGTATTCTGGGGATGCATGCTTCATGCTTACAGTTTTATTTCTTTTTCTAGGCGGTCAATCAATTAGGTGATGCCAATGAAGTTCTAAATGAACGTGCTGTGGCTGTCATGGCTCGAATGAGTAATAAACTCACTGGACGTGATTTTGCTGCTACCTCTGCATCTTCAAGCTCTCTACAGCATCCACTGGATCACAGTACGTTGATTTCTGGAGAGACGCGTGAAGCTGATCATGGTTTATCAGTGAAACTACAAGTCCAAAAACTTATTCAGCAAGCAATGTCTCATGAAAATCTTTGCCAAAATTATGTTGGGTAAGTTCAAGATTCCCATTGCTCCTTGGTTTCGCTTTTGTTTGTTCATTTGCTACTGACTTGCACATTTGGTGTTTGAATGTTTAAAATTTTGGAAAAGGGCCAAAGCTACCCTTAAACTATTCGAAATAGCTTAAATATACCCTTAAACTATATTTCGGCTAAAAAATGTCCTTCATGTAAAAAAATGTGTTGGCCCTGAATCTGGTAAAGGGGTGCTTTTGATGAATTAGAATTTTAATTGCAGTGTAAAAATAGTGTGTTTTGTTCTTTGGACTAATTCATGGTTTCCTTGTTCTTTATTTCAGGTGGTGTCCATTTTGGTAGGTTAAGGGTGATAATTATCTGTATATTTGTACAGTGTTTGATCCTTTGTAGAAGTTATTGGAAGAAGTCCAGCATGTACAGAACTTAGGTTTATGTAAAGACCTAAGTTTGTGGTAGCCAGTTGTTGTATTAAGCAAGGTAGCCTATCGGCAGCATGTAATCTAGCTCCAAGTGGAAGTTCAATAAAACTGGTTCTAGTCTGAGAATGGTGAATATTTATTCTGTACAGCTATTTACATAGTGAAATGAACCCTTGTGAAGAGGATAAAGTTGGTTGCCTGCATCTAAAGCTTTATGTATTCTTGATCCTAGTTGCTGATGAATGAAGGAGTTTCTCTCCAGTCCCATAGTCTGATGGATCGATGAATTTCATGTCTATTCATCTGACTGGACAAATCCACAAAGATGTAATTGGGTTGTGTCTCATTTTCTTCAGTCTACTATGTGAGGAGCAAGATTTTGTTCTGCAGCAAGGCTGCTGGGATGATCCCGGTTTCCTTTGCGCTCCACTTAAATACCGTGTTTTTTTCTATGGCAGGGTTTAAGCGCATCTAATTCACTTGTGATCTTTATCACTAGGCCAGAGTCTGGATCCTGGTTATATTAGGTACATTTAAAAATGAGTTAAGGTGGCGGACTTAAGCTAAACCTTGTTTTAGGGTCACATCATTGGTTGGATTTTATGTTAATAACATATTCGCGCATGCACACACATATATATTCTTTAGGAGTTGGTAAAGTGTGTACGTCAAGAATTTTAATAATGTATATATGCTCGGTGCTGGCAAATAAAATATGAATTTGTGTTTAGAATATTTCACAATTATTGACTAATATTAATTTATCATTATTGTAGTTACGATAATATTGTTTAACATGTTTTGTTAATCATCCAACCTCATAAGAGTATTTTTTTTTTAAAAATGTTCCGGTAAGGCCATTTACAATACCCTAACATCAATAAAAAGAAAAGAGTGGAAAAAGTTAACACCCCATTATAGGTTGTGCCAAAATCTAACTTAAATTAAATGACTGAATTTAGTTATTTCAAACTTCATTCATATTAAACTTTACAGGTCTAAAGTTGCTACGAAAGTGAGTAGACTTATAAATTTTAATGCACTATATGATTTAAATGGTAACCCCAAAATCGAGTATATGTACGCCCCTATATAACACGATCCCATTTAACCCAAAAAAAAAAACAAGATCCTTTTTTTCTTGTTTTCTCTGTCTTGAAAAATAACACGTTCATTAAATGGCCCTAAAGTTTGTCTGGCTGAGATTGGCCAATAGAAATAGACCGTTAAGTTAGGCCAACTATTACCTATTTGTAGCGCCTTTTTCATCTGTTTCAAACAACTTTATAGACATCTGAACTGTCCCTACTTGTACTTCAACTTTATACAGGACAGACAGACAGACATTGGACCCCTCTACTACTAGGGTTTTACTGTTTTTTCCTAACTAAACCCCTTCTTTCACAGAAGCATATACTCATCTTTTTTATTATTCTCCTCCTTGTACATTGAAAACTCCACACATAGTTAAAAAAAAATTATGTTACAAAATCTTGGCGGAGTTTTCTATTCTATAGTTAATAGCTTATGAATTTGTCAACAAGTTTTAATCTTTTTTAAAAAAACTTTCTTTTTGTGGGATTAACTTTGATAAAAATTTCTGGGGTTTTGGTTTTCTTTGTAAAGATGGCAGTAGTGGGAGATTTAGCTTTGATGGGGACTAAGATTAAGTTAATTGGTAAATTGGAGAAAAGGGTATTTGGTGTTCCACTTTCTACAAGTCCAAGATTTAGTTTTTCTCAGACTAGAAATTTGGATGTCAGCAAATCAAGAACTGCAGTCAGAGCAGTGCTGCAGGTTGAGAAAATTCAAAGTTCAGGTGAATTAAAAGAAGGGTCTTTAGGCTTTGATGTTGTGTCAGAAAGGGAGCTTAAAGAAAATGGATTTTTGGGGTTAAGGAAGACAAAGCTTGTGTGTACAATTGGACCAGCTTGTTCTTCTATAGATGAGTTGGAGAAATTGGCTATTGCAGGTATGAATGTGGCTAGGCTTAATATGTGTCATAACTCAAGGGAGTGGCATCAAGATGTTATTAGGAAGATTAAGAAGTTGAATCAAGAAAAGGGTTATTGTGTATCAGTTATGATTGATACAGAGGGGAATCAAATACAAGTTGATCTTGGCTCTTCATCTTCTGTCAAAGCAGAGGTAATCAACCAAATACTTTAGAGCCCTTTTTGTGATTTTTCTTGTATTATGTTGTTGGGTTAATTTCACATATGGTGTTTTAATTTTATCCTATGTAACAGTAAAGTAAAAAAAAGGCTATTTTTTGTCACATTAATGTGGTTGAACTTTACCCATAGTAACTAGTAAGGTCTTGCTCAAAAGACTAAAAGGGTAGTCCGATGCACTAAGTTCGTACTATGTGGGGGATCTGGGGAAGGGGTGGAACACAAAGGCCTGTTGTACTCAGCCTTACATTGCATTTCCTCTCAAGAGGATCGAACCCGTGACCTCTCCTGGTCACATGGCAGCAAGACTGGAAGGTCAAATTTCCAGCACTGTGTAATGGCTATTTCCTTTCCTTTTTTGCTTCATTTAAATGCTTTTAGTTGTATTTTGTTTGATAAAATATGGAGTAGTCACAGATTTTTTAGTGGTCAATTTTTTGTTCTTCAGTCGAAATTTGATCTTGAGGAATTCTGTTACTATATTTTAACTAAAAATATTTATCTGTGACTTTATTGTTATAGTAGGTAAAACAAAAGTAGTTTTGTGACTTTATTTTTATATTGTGTACGTGAAATTAACCCGATGTTGTTAAAAGTTGAAGTTTATAGTCTAACTTGAATTCTGTTCATGTGAGATTCATTAGGAGGATTCAATCTGGTACTTTACTACTGAGAAGTTTGAAGGTTCTCGTCCATTTACAATTCAAGCAAATTATGAAGGTTTTTCTGAAGGTAATCTCATTGATTAAAAAATATAAAATTGTTTCCTGTTTTGGCTGTGAAAGGTTAGATTGAGGTTGAATCTCTTTCTCCTATTTAGGTGTCAATTCTGGTGATGAAATTGTCATTGACGGAGGAATGGCAACTTTTGAAGTTATAGAGAAAGTTGGTAATGGCTTGCGCTGCAAGTGCACAGACCCCGGTCTACTTCTGCCTAGAGCTAAGTTGAGTTTTTGGAGAGATGGAAAGCTTTTAGGAAGAGATTATGATCTCCCGACTTTATCAACAAAGGTCAGTAAATTTGTTGCTCGATTTTTACTCATCGAAAAGAAAAAAATATGCTTGAGTTTTACTCATCGAAAAGAAAAATATATGCTCGAGTTAAGCTTAAACAGGGATGTTCATCTTCAACATGCTCTGACTAAGTGTTTGAAATGACAGAAATGATCCAATAATTGATAGTTCTAAATGGCAAATTTTCACAATTTTTACATTTGTTGAACTATTGAGGTTTATATCTATTGTATAAAGGTTGTAAAGAAACTGAATCTCGAACCTTTTATCCTTTTCTTTTTGTTGATAAAATGAATCTCTTACCTTTCTGATGCACTTGTTATGATCTACCCCAGTGAGAACATAAAGTTGTAACTTTCCTATTGAGAATTATATCTGCAATATGAATTTCTAATCTTGCTGATGCGCACTTCATGATCCACAGGATTGGTCAGACATTGTGTTTGGAATATCAGAAAATATTGATTTCATTGCAGTTTCATTTGTAAAAGACGCGGGGGCAATCACGCATCTGAGGGACTACCTCACAACTACATCGTCCAAGTAAGTAAAGTTTGTGAGCAAAGATTATTTTTTAACTTCAACAATTATATCCATTTCAGTCCTTACCTAAAATGCATAATTATGGTCCACTAATAGCTGCATTCCTTATCATTGATTAGCATTGCTCCGTCTCTTTACTCTAATTTTTCACATAGGTTCAAAGTGTATTTTGCATAAATCCTTCTGAATTTGATTGCAGGGCAATAAAAGTGTTGGCAAAGATAGAGAGCCTAGAGTCTCTCCGAAGGTTGGAAGAGATTGTTGAGGCTTCTGATGGAATTATGATAGCAAGGGGAGATCTAGGAGTTGAGATTCCACTTGAACAGATTCCATCTGTTCAGAAAGATATTACTTATGTTTGCAGGCAGCTCAACAAGCCCGTTATTGTGGCCTCTCAACTTCTAGAGTCAATGGTGGAATACCCCACTCCAACACGAGCAGAGGTACTAATCTTTCTTTCCTCGTGATTTTTTTTTTTTTTGCATTTTCTGTCTTTTGACAAAATTTTACTAGACCATATCTTTTGGGTGGATTCTAGTTTGACAAGTACTAGCTAATCTGGCCTTCAATAATCACAAGCCATTTTATGTGATAGGTTGCAGATGTTTCTGAAGCGGTACGACAGTATGCTGATGCATTGATGTTATCTGGTGAGTCAGCCATTGGATCATATGGAATGAAGGCTCTTTCTGTCTTGCGTACAACTAGCACCCGAATGGAACAATCATGTCGCGAAGAGAACAGGCAAACTTTGTTGCATCAGCGCAAACTTGGAGCATCTTTGCCAGATCAAATTGCTGAGCAAATCTGCAATTGTGCAGTGGAAATGGGTACTTCCCTCGACTGTATACATGCATGTTCTTAAAACTGTTAGATAGAGCATACCTTTTGTATGTACTTAATATATATTATGTCTCAACGACCTATTTGTCTTTGATCTTAACCAATTTCCTTTTACATACTCCAGCTGACAACCTAGGGGTGGATGCTATATTTGTGTACACAAGGCATGGGAAGATGGCATCTCTTCTCTCACGCAATCGTCCAAATCCTCCAGTATTTGCCTTCACGAACAACAGCAGCACACAGATGGCTCTCAATTTGCAGTGGGGAGTTACTCCCCTTCTCACTGACCTTTCAGACGACATGGAAGGAAACGTTAAGAAAACAGTGGAACTTATAAAAGCAAAGGGGATGATAAAGAAGGATGATGCTATTTTGGTGGTATCAGATATCATTCCAATTTCTACTGCCCAAACAATTTTCCAGTCCATTCAGGTTATGACCATAACATAGGATATCTTTTCAAGTAGAATATTGCATTATGATTTCTTGTATGTTTGGAAAAGAGACTTCTTTTACTATTTTGAGGACACCTACTTTTGTTGTATGCCATATTCTGTTCAGTTTTTGGTTTTTAGTTCAAAGATTTTTCTTTAAAACATTCAAAAAAAAAAAAAAAGTGTTTGGTCAAGTTAGTTAAGGGACTTGAGAAATTGAATTTGAATAGGCAATTGTGGAAGAGTCCAAAATCCAAGTGAAGGCAACTTGTGAGGTCACATGTACTCTGGCCATTTGTTTGCTTTATATATATACTTCACATGTCAATTTGTACAAAAAGAATATGGATTCTTCCTTCCTTCTCCATTAATTGATTTTGTTTTTTTTTTATCACAATCATAGAATAACAAGCGTAAGGGATAAATCCTTGTTCCTTTTTAACCATTTAGTACTTGAAATTTATCGATTAATTTTGATTTGGGCCAGTTAAACAGGATAAAATATTTCATGTTTCTACGTTTTTAAGCCTCCACAAATTAAGAGTAAATGAATCACAACTATATCACCACTCTTATATGGAATGTGATGTACTATCGGCGGTTATTTACTTTTTGGTGAGAATTTTTTCATTTTTGACAAGTATGTCAACAACAAACCATTGTAATTCCACAAAAAGGTATTAAAAAAATAGATATATATAAATTTTATCTTTATCGAATAGAAAAATTATTTTCAATAGAATTCAACTCGAAACGAAAAACTTTTGGTTATGCATAATAAGTCCAACCATGCAATTATATTTTAATCGTGCAAGAATCAATCAAATTGCTATCGTTGATTATTGACGGCTCTTATTAGTCTTCTGAACGAACTCAAAAGCCACCTTAGAATATTCTTCTCTAACAATAAATTTGTAAATTCATTCTTTTAGGAAAATAAATATATATATTATGATAGTGATTACAATAATCAATTTTAATTAGTACGTTTTTCTCAGTTTGCAGCTAATAAGCAATTTGAAGGGAAATGTTGGATTTTGATTCATTTGAATTTTCCTATATTATACTCTCTCTTTTCATTTTTACTTGTCCGCTATATTAACATATTAAAAAAAAAAATTAAACTTTATAATCTCAATTAAGGAAAAAAAAAAACATTCTTTCTGAATCAACTAAAAAGGAAAAAATGAATATGAGAAAAGAGGCCGAATATTATTTTTGTAGGGAAAAAGGTGGTTGGTTGGTTAGGTGCTAGCGTAAGTAAGTATGTTGGATGGCGACACACATGATCGATGCTCGGCTGAATATTTATGGCTACAAATTTGCCAAATCATTGGCAAAAAATTGTAAGGTAAACCGGTGGAGTGAGAAACAGGAGATTTCAAGAAACATGCCGCCGTTTAACTAAATGAAACTTCTTGAATTTTAGCAAATTTGATCATCCAAAAATGGCATCTTTCCAGTTATTGAAGTCTCCATTCTCATTTTCTCAATCTAATTCTAGTCGTTTTTCCACTATAGTACAAAGAAGGACTTTGGGTGTGAGATATCAAAGGAAAAATCCAATCTTGAAGACATTTGTTGATACAAAGTTTAGGGTTAGATGTAGAATTCAAGACAACGAAAATCAGAGTAATGGTAATCCTTTATTCACTTGGATTTTGTTTCAAAAAGTTGGTTTCTTTTAGTGGTGTTTGATTTCATCTCTACTATGATTTTGCTGTTCAAGTTCCAATTTTTTTGGTTGATGGTGTGTTTGATAGAAAAGATATGTTATGTTACCCCGTTTCATCACTCCGGAGTCAAGATTTTCACATGTGAGTGAGAATAGAAAAAAGTAAACATACAAAGAAGTGAAGGGGTTCAATATACATAAAAATATTTTTAACCATGTATAATCAATGTAATTTTACATCGAACTAGCTCTGCCAGCTAGCATGCTAGAGGGAAAACCTATTAAGTTCTCTAAGTGATAGTTAAGCACCAATTTTTGAGAATGAAAAAGGTTGAATTATTGGTAGCAAGTTCTGATTAGTTAAAATGAATAACTTGATTGAGGAAGGAGAGGTGACCCTCGACAAGGTTCAATTGATTGAACGTACAGACTGTGACAATAAAAAAAAAGGATAAGTATTTGAAGTATTTCAGGTAAAGAAGGAAAGTGTTAAACGGAGAATTTATACTGGACTGGCTATCTGGTGGGCTATCCTTCATTAGTAAATTCCATAGTGATTCAGAAATTTAGCTTCTGCTGCCAAGTACATAGATACCTTAAGCTCGAATATTCTTAAAGAATGATATCTTTGAAGTTCCAGTAGCTCTGGCTTCTCATTATAGAATACTTCTGAATGTAACTGGTGGCGGTTGAATGACTGGATTGACTTGCGTCATGGCCATAGGCCAATCGCTCGAACTATCTGGAAGCTTCCAATTTCACTCCGTCTTAGAGCTCTTGTAGCTTTTATTTGAATATACTCTTTTTCTTTATGAAAGACCTCAAATCCAATGTTGGTTCTCACAGGTGAAGAACCACCAGAGTCATTGTTTATGAAAGAGTTGAGAAGACGTGGCATGAATCCAACTTCATTGCTAGAGGAGACAAACACAAATATCAAAGAAGATGAGGAGACAAAATCTATGGAAGAAGATGGAGGCTTCTATCGTAGAAATGCACTGTCAACAGATTCTGGAAGAAATTTGACTAATCAAAGGGAACAGTCTATGGCACTGAATAGTGAAGGCCTAGAGGTGGGCAGGTTTCCTCCTTATACATTATTTGGATTTTGGTTCTAAATGTTCATGTACAAGAATAAAGTTGTGCAATTGGTTCTTGACCTGATACGTTATGAGTCTCTCCGTCCACCTTAAATTTAACTTCCCATTTTGACTTGGCACAGTTTTTAAAAGAAATAACTAATAATATTAGCTGTTACCATTTCTTGACTTTGTGTTTTGAAGAATAAAATAGAGAAAATAGTCTATCGAGAAGTATCACTTGTTCTTTAATGGAGTAAGAGTGGACTGAGAAGTATGACTTACGAAAGGTCAAGTAGGACTTTTCAATTTTAGGACACGAGTTCAGTTGTGTAAATAACTGTTCAAACAGAAATCTTATGAAAGATGTGCAAAGAGTCATTGGCTATATTATTTTGCATATTTTTTGGCTTCACATAATTTATATAGACACTATATGGGTTTGTAACTAATGACCATACGTCTTTATGTGCTATATTTGCAGGGTTTGATTCCGCGGGCAAAACTTTTGCTTACTCTTGGTGGAACATTCTTTTTGGCATTTTGGCCATTGATCCTTGTAACTATTGCAGCTTTCTTGGCTTTATACCTGGTAATTGATTCCTGTGATCCTTGGTTTGCATCCTTATGATGTCTTTGTTATAAAGGGCCAATTGCAATTAGTTAATTTGTTTATTTTACCTTTTTGCTAAAGCAAGTTTGTTGAGCTTCTTATCTTTGTTCTGGAATGACTTTTCCATAAACCCAACAAAGGAAAAAGAACCTTTTCTTTTAGCACATCCATGCATAGTTCACACGATATTGAGCTTCCAAGATTGTTGGAGGAAAGGAGTGTATCCCTCTTTTACGAACTTGCAGCTTAAATCTTATGTTGAATTAAAAGTTGAAATTAGGAAATTACTGGTGTTACCTGCTTATTGCTGTAAGCATCATGTTACGAGGGATAGCCTAGTGATAAAGACCCTTTGACCTTGATTTTTGTGGACAGAAAAGAATAGGAGATATTTTGGTGTATTAACTCCCAATCACTCTATAAAGGCTAGGTGCTTAATGTATCTGTTTAGCTGGCACAATATGTCCCCTGTAGATTCTCATGACAATTTTTTGAACTTTGTTAGCTCCCTGGTCCTAGAAAACCCTCTCATGTATTAGAATTAACTCAGTTTTCTCTTTGGTGTGGTGAAAGAGACCACAACTGCATTTGAGTTATTTTGATTGTTCTTAGTATAAACAATTAAAGATGATCAGTTACAGAAAAATATCCAGCAAAATGTGGTAAAACCAATTGTAACAAATTGTTATCATTGAATGCAATGTCAAACTGAATAAGAGTCTCTGTTTATTGAATTTGGATGACAAATGATCATAATATGGACCTCCAGGAAAGTAGAGAAAAAGCTAAGATGAGTAAAATTTTTCCAATAAAACATGTGACGAGTTAAATATACCTCAGGTGTTATTTGTTTTGGTGGAAGTTATTAGCCCAGTAATTCACGTGTTTCATATGTTTTTTTGGATGTACTATATTTGTCGCTACTTTATTCATGTTCTTAATTCACCATTGACTGTTTTCTTCTCTCTCGGCAGTATTTTGGACCTTCATTTGTCCATTATGCAACCAACAGATCGACAGATCCACCACCATACGTTGACCCTTATGTACTACTCGAAGAAGAGAGGATATCACAGACAGCTCCACGTCTAAATTGAGTTGCTGCTTATTTCATGAAGTTATACTGTTCAAATGTCTTAAAGGTTTCCATTGCTTATCCTGAGTATATTTTCCTTATTATTTTCTGGTTTGACATTGCCATGATAGCTAGAACATACTCATGTTGACTGAGAAATCTTATTTCTATGACTGTAAAATTTGTAAAAATGTGCAAGAGATAAGATTTCCCATTCTGTAACCTATACTGTATATTCTTTATATTGATCCTAATCCCTTTGATGGGAAGTCCCCAGAAATTCTTTAGAAGGCAAGCACGTTATGATGTGAGAGTCTCAATTGGTATTTTTCTCCCCCCCTCCCAGAATTAGATCTTGAAATAGATCTCATCAGAGTGTGACATTAAATATTGTTAGTTTCAAGCTGATGCCATTTTAGAAAAAGGAGTGACTTTACAACTTGTGAATTGTGATACATCCCTAGCAACTTTGAGCTCTGGGTTGTTTGCACAACCAGTGGTCCAGCTGCTTATGCTGGATTTTTCATCCAATATGCTTCAATGATTTTAGTGATTCTATGTACTAGATGGAACTTGAACTCATAATGTCACAATTGTAGTATTAATGTCGACTTTACCGTTTAATAGATTTCAAATCCTTCTAGCAAGTGACAGAGAAGTACTTCAAATGAGCATCCAAATGATATTTAAGTTTAGAA